CTACAACTTCCTGGATTATGCAATGACATCCCTTTGCTTTCTTACCCTGATCAATAATAAAACTGAGAAAAAATGTGATTGATTTGTGTTGGCGTCAAACGAACCTTCCGGTGCAGCCGTCTACATCAATTTGCTTGCGTGCAGATTTATTTGACTGGCGTTCGTGACGTTTTTTCCTCGTGTTGAAATGTTCCGGTTGGGTGTTTAGAATCACCAGATCCCAGGAGATCACGCCTTCAATTAGCCTTGTTAGAGATTTGGTTCGACAGACGTATGGGGCGACATGCCGACTCAGCTGGTAGAGGGATGTCATTGATACAGCCAATCGATTGGTAATTGATCTCCCGTATCTGATCGCTGGGGGCCAGTGTGAGGGTGTCAAGTCAGTCAAAATCGTGGGTCATGTAATGGTGCTGTTAGAGACTTGTCAAAATCGTGGGGCATGTAATGATGCTGTTGGAGACTTGTCAAGGTCGTGGGTCGTGTAACATGGCTGTTAGAGACTTGTCAAAGTCGTGTAACTTGGCTGTTAGAGACTTGTCAAAGTCGTGTAACTTGGCTGTTAGAGACTTGTCAAAGTCGTGTAACTTGGCTGTTAGAGACTTGTCAAAGTCGTGTAACTTGGCTGTTAGAGACTTGTCAAAGCCGTGTAACTTGGCTGTTAGAGACTTGTCAAAGTCGTGTAACTTGGCTGTTAGAGACTTGTCAAAGTCGTGTAACTTGGCTGTTAGAGACTTGTCAAAGTCGTGTAACTTGACTGTTAGAGACTTGCCAAAGTCGTGGGTCATGTAACTTGACTTTTAGAGACTTGCCAAAATCGTGGGTCATGTAACTTGACTTTTAGAGACTTGTCAAAATCGTGGGTCATGCAACTTGGCTGTTAGAGACTTGTCAAAGTTGTGGATCATGTAACTTGGCTGTTAGAGACTTGTCAAAGTTGTGGGTCATGTAACTTGGCTGTTAGAGACTTGTCAAAGTTGTGGATCATGTAACTTGGCTGTTAGAGACTTGTCAAAGTCGTGGATCGTGTAAGGTGGCTGTTAGAGACTTGTCAAAGTCGTGGGTCATGTATCTTGGATGTTAGAGACTTGTCAAAGTCGTAGATCGTGTAAGTTGGCTGTTAGAGACTTGTCAAAGTCGTAGATCGTGTAAGTTGGCTGTTAGAGACTTGTCAAAGTCGTGGGTCATGTAACTTGGCTGTTAGAGACTTGACAAAGTCGTGTATCGTGTAACTTGGCTGTTAGAGACTTGTCAAAGTCGTGGATCGTGTAAGGTGGCTGTTAGAGACTTGTCAAAGTCGTGGGTCATGTAACTTGGCTGTTAGAGACTTGTCAAAGTCGTAGATCGTGTAAGTTGGCTGTTAGAGACTTGTCAAAGTCGTGGGTCATGTAACTTGGCTGTTAGAGACTTGACAAAGTCGTGTATCGTGTAACTTGGCTGTTAGAGACTTGACAAAGTCGTGTATCGTGTAACTTGGCTGTTAGAGACTTGTCAAAGTCGTGGGTCATGTAACTTGGCTGTTAGAGACTTGTCAAAGTCGTAGATCGTGTAAGTTGGCTGTTAGAGACTTGTCAAAGTCGTGGGTCATATAACTTGGCTGTTAGTAACCTGTCAAAGATGTGGGTCGTGTAACTTGGCTGTTAGAGACTTGTCAAGTAGTTGGACAGCCAGGATAAATACTGGGATGTTTTAAAGCTGTGTAAACTGACAGCTGGTCGTGTGAAACATCAATGTGGCACAGCAGGGTGTGTGGGATAGCAGTGTGTGTGGGATAGCAGTGTGTGTGTTTAGTGTAATGACAGCTGTGTGGCAGAACTTGCGCGTAGTTTAGGAGTAATGATAGCTTGCTGTCTTACAGTTAGGAATGCAATTTTGGGGTGTGTTTATAGTTGTTAGCAGCAACGTCTGGTCCAGTGGTATAGCTGTGTGTGAATGAGTGAATGACCCAGCTGTGAGTTAATGACTGTTGAGTGAATGACGTAGCTGTGTGTGTGTGGGGGGGGGGGGGTGCCTTTATATACGAACTATAATTTGTTTGAATACAAAGTATAACACATGTTTTGTTTACTTATCCCTTTTCAATAAGTGCGACATAAAATTGATCAAATATATTGAACTAATTGATTTTGTTTCACTAAATATCGATTGTCCTCACCCCCCACCTCCCTGTATCAACAATGGGTCCTGTTCAGTTAGTTGCATTTAAATGGTTGCATTGACTCTAAGAAAGTTGTTTACACTAGTGAAGAACCAATTAGCTAAAGTTTAGAAGGCGCTTTGGGTTAATTAGCTGTGCCCAAAGTTGTTGTTATAACTATAGTGGAACGGAATACAATCAGACGTGTTTGTCACATACGCTCAAAAACAGAAAAACAGATACCCACAAACATAAACACACATACAGACACGTACCCACATACCCTCAAACGCTCAAGACTACCCACAAATGTACACACTCGCATACACACGACACACGCTGGTACCTGTATAATGCCCGTGTTATCCTTTATCGTCCATAAATTAACAATAGTCTTCTTGTTCCAATTTTAAAAAAAAAATGCTTCATGTAGTTAACTAGAAAAATCAATACCAGCCATTCCCATATACATTTGGTATCGCATAGTTTTATGCTATTCGGCCTTCTGAATACGAAATTATTTTCTCTCTCGTTTGTTTTGTTTACTTAAGATTGGTTGATTAGCACACATGAAAGATGGACGATTTCATTTGGGCGCTTCAAGGCGATCATGTTTAATAATGTTTACTGTGTACGGTGTGTTAGATCAATACTAGCGAAAGTATACATGAGTTTTGACGGTGTTTGTACACACAACTGGCTTAAGTGTCAGCCAGGGGTGTTTTCCTGTCAGGATAGAGCACAGTCTAATTTAAATACTTAATGTAGATGACACCCCACACTCCTCCACGTTTACTGGTGCAGATGTCCTTGTGTAGGCAACAGAACAGGCAAATGTTCTTTAGTAGGCAACAGAACAAGATGTCTTTTAGTAGGCTACAGAACAGGAAAATGTCTTTGAGTAGACAACAGAACAGGAAAATGTCTTTTAGTAGGCTACAGAACAGGCAAATGTCTTTTAGTTGGCAACAGAACAGGAAAATGTCTTTTAGTAGGCAACAGAACAGGAAAATGTCTTTAAGTAGGCAACAGAACAGGAAAATGTCTTTGAGTAGACAACAGAACAGGAAAATGTCTTTTAGTAGGCTACAGAACAGGCAAATGTCTTTTAGTTGGCAACAGAACAGGCAAATGTCTTTTAGTAGACAACAGAACAGGAAAATGTCTTTTAGTAGGCAACAGAACAGGAAAATGTCTTTTAGTCGGCAACAGAACAGGCAGATGGCTTTTAGTCGGCAACAGAACAGGCAAATGTCTTTTAGTAGGCAACAGATCAGGCAAATGTCTTTTAGTAGGAAACAGATCAGGCAAATGTCTTTTAGTAGGAAACAGATCAGGCAAATGTCTTTGTGTAGTGAACAGAACAGGCAAATGTCTTTGTGTAGTGAACAGAACAGGCAAATGTCTTTGTGTAGTGAACAGAACAGGCAAATGTCTTTTAGTAGGCAACAGAACAGGCAAATGTCTTTGTGTAGTGAACAGAACAGGCAAATGTCTTTTAGTAGGCAACAGAACAGGCAAATGTCTTTTAGTAGGCAACAGAACAGGCAAATGTCTTTGTGTAGTGAACAGAACAGGCAAATGTCTTTTAGTAGGCAACAGAACAGGCAAATGTCTTTGTGTAGTGAACAGAACAGGCAAATGTCTTTGTGTAGTGAACAGAACAGGCAAATGTCTTTGTGTAGACAACATAGCAAGCAACATTTGCTTACCCAGTTCTGGACTTTGAGGAAATGGTACAAGGTTGTCCCGACCTATGTATGCAAATACTGGCTTAGCGTGGGTTAACGCCATTATTAGCTGTCTAGAGCCTTTAGTGGTAGCCACGGGTCTATTCATCTCACAGTAGTTGTTCTGTCTAGAGCCTTTAGTGGTAGCCACGGGTCTATTCATCTCACACTAGTTGTTCTGTCTAGAGCCTTTAGTGTAGCCGAGAGTTTTTTCATCTCACACTAGTTGTTCTGTCTAGAGCCTTTAGTGTAGCCGAGAGTTTTTTCATCTCACACTAGTTGTTCTGTCTAGAGCCTTTAGTGTAGCCGAGAGTTTTTTCATCTCACACTAGTTGTTCTGTCTAGAGCCTTTAGTGTAGCCGAGAGTTTTTTCATCTCACACTAGTTGTTCTGTCTAGAGCCTTTAGTGTAGCCGAGAGTTTTTTCATCTCACACTAGTTGTTCTGTCTAGAGCCTTTAGTGGTAGCCGAGAGTCTATTCATCTCACACTAGTTGTTTTGGCATTTTGTTTTGACTGTCCAACCCACGTTTCCTGGTCTGGCTGGAATGGGGGGGGGGGGGGGGGGGGGGGGGCTAGTCATTTAGGGTGTACTTTAATAAAGGACTAGTTTCTCGGGATCAAGCCGATGATAATGTTGTCGCTTTGTTTACATAAATTAAATTTGTAACTAAGTTGTAGTATTACAAGCAGCCTACAGAATAGCTATTTTTATGGCGTTTGTCACATTTTTAAAAATCTATACCGTCTGAACTCTGATCTTATACTCAGGCTCACCAAAGCAATGAACAGACTCAACCCTAACTGCCTACCACCACCATGTATTCACCCCCCCCCCCCTTTTTTTTCCCCACCCATTATTATCGTGAATATTAATTAACAATTAATGCATATTTTAATTATTGTCAGACTGTAACATAATAGTATTGTCTGATGGTGCTATGTTTGTTGTCTAATGGTGCCGTGTCTGTTGTCTAATGGTGCCGTGTCTGTTGTCTGATGGTGCCGTGTCTGTTGTCTAATGGTGCCGTATCTGTTGTCTAATGATGCCGTGTCTGTTGTCTGATTGTGCCGTGTCTGTTGTCTGATGGTGCCGTGTCTGTTGTCTAATGATGCCGTGTCTGTTGGTCAACAGTTTACAACTGGACTGTGGATGACGTGGTCGAGTGGCTGGTCCAAGATGTTGATCTACCTCAGTACTCCAACACCTTTCACAACAACGCTATCGACGGTTCAGTGCTGCCCAGGTATGTACACACTCACCCCACCCCCTGCCATACACACACATACTGACACACACATACAACACCCACAACACTAGCTAAGGCACTACAATAAAGTTTGGAAATTGGTCGCCAAAGCATGCTTACGTTTCATAATCACATTTTTTCTAAGTATTGAACTATGAGTTAAGAATTATTTTTTATACTACCCGCTGTGGGTGTCTAGAAAATCAACTATTGGTTGTTTTTTTTTTAAGTAACCCATTTCGGTCACGTGTTGTCGAACCAAAACGGTCTCCATTTTCTTCAACTCACACGTCACTGCGGGTCATGCTATGACGTCACACTAAAGCTCACTAGATTTTTTTTTTATTTATCCGCCCACTACCTGATTGGTGTGTTAACTGCGGTGAGATCTAGTACCATGAGATCTTTTGTCTTAAATGGTCGACAAAACGGGGCTCATCAATTAAAGCAGTCTCCAATTGATATGTATAATATCAATAATAAGTCTCTTAACAACGGTAATGAGTATGACAAAGGGTTGGTGTGGAAGGAAGCATCTTTATCAGCGCATTGACTAAAAGCAATAAGAACACGGTGAGTCGTCCCCCCCCCTCTCTAGTTGTACCTTCCCAACACTAGGTTATAGCTTGCCACTAATGATGGCACATTGTTAAACCTGAAGAGTTGAAAGTCTTGCCGTGGGGTGACCCACGATATCTGAACACAGTTGAACCTCATCACAGTGCTAAAGAAACCTACACTGCACTGGTTAACTGGCAGTGTTGTCCACAGCTCTATAGAAATAATGGCACCCCATATCTGCTGGGAAATTGTTGTTTTTCCTATTTCAGCTTTGTCACTATATTTTAATTTAGTATATACCCTTTGTCAGTCTACCTCTAATTACTTCAAGTTAGTGCTCTGTTTCCCCCCCCCCCCCCCTGCCCCTGTCAGCTGTGTGGTCTCACCCCAGTCCTGTCTTTGCTTCACAACTCTTTATCTTGGTTTCTTGTTCAAGGCGTTATTAAATTCTAACTGTACAACCCTGTGTTACAGGTTGGTCAACTCCACCAACCCTCTACTCTAACTGTTTGTACAACCCTGTGTTACAGGTTGGTCAGCTCCACCAACCCTCTACTTTAACTGTTCTAATTGTACAACCCTGTGTTACAGGTTGGTCAACTCCACCAACCCTCTACTCTAACTGTTTGTACAACCCTGTGTTACAGGTTGGTCAACTCCACCAACCCTCTACTCTAACTGTTTGTACAACCCCCATGTTACAGGTTGGTCAACTCCACCAACCCTCTACTTTAACTGTTTGTACAACCCCCATGTTACAGGTTGGTCAACTCCACCAACCCTCTACTTTAACTGTTTGTACAACCCTGTGTTACAGGTTGGTCAACTCCACCAACCCTCTACTCTAACTGTTTGTACAACCCTGTGTTACAGGTTGGTCAACTCCACCAACCCTCTACTCTAACTGTTTGTACAACCCTGTGTTACAGGTTGGTCAACTCCACCAACCCTCTACTTTAACTGTTTGTACAACCCTGTGTTACAGGTTGGTCAACTCCACCAACCCTCTACTTTAACTGTTCTAATTGTACAACCCTGTGTTTCAGGTTGGTCAACTCCACCAACCCTCTACTGCAGGCGTTGGGCATCAGGAACCCGGTACACAAACAGAAGTTGTCTCTCAAGGCCATGGACATTGTTCTCTTTGGTGCTCCCAAAAGTAAGTACTCAACTCTCTATGTTAACTGTTGATGGTTGACTTGGGTCAGATTCTATGGCTACAGGACATTACCCCCCCCCCCCCCCGAGCAATTACCCTCATGTCAATTACCCCCCCTCTCAAGTTAGAATCCTAACTCTAACTAGAATTCTATACCTATATACTACTTTAATCCTAACCGTAAGACCAAAACCTAAGCATCCACCTTAGCCTAAAACTTCACACAAAGCCAATGCTAGACATTGGTTTAAGCCTAACCCTAGCCCTAAACCTAACCCTAGCCCTAGCCTTAAACCTAGCTCTAACCCTAAACCTAACCCTAACTCTAACCCTGTTCTTGGGGGGGGGGGGGGGGGTAATGTCCTACTGGGCGGGGGTAATTGACAGGGGGGTAATTACTCTGGGGGGTAATGTTGGGGGGGGGGGGAAATGTCCGTGGAGTAATTGATAGGGGGGAAATGCCCTGTTCCCGACTATTCCATTAAGGTCTGTACCAGGCTAACATAGACCTAACTATGTATGTGACTAACATTGTACAGTGTAACTGTGAGCTACATTTGATACCCAAGTTACCCCTGTGTACCAGGTGCCAGATCCTCATTTAGTCAAGGATTTAAGATTAGGTAATTAAGATTAGTTAATGCAATAAAAGATTGTTCTCAACCATATTAGATTTCTTTTATAGCCTATTTTATGACTAGCTAGATTTTGCTGTTATCGCAGGATAAAGTTTACTGCTGAAGTATGTGCGGAGTTCAGTCAGAAAAATCTGAATATATATTTTTAAAAATCTTCCTAAACCTCCATTAAATGTAAAAAAAATACCATGTCAGAAAGAAAATCATTTCTCTGAAGTCAAGGCTTTAGGTAATTTTTGTCAGGCTTTAGGTAAAAAAAAAAAATCTTGTGCTGTCCAATCAGAGGTGACCATTTAATGCACAGGTCTTTTATGATGACCTTGCTTTTTTTAGGAACTCAAAACAACTTTCACCATGTCAGCATTTTAATTTTTTTTTTTTCATTTGCATAATTGTTGCTCATACATTACCATTATTTGGTAACATCTTGACATGAGACTTTCTCTTAGTGTGACTAGAATGTTTCGGATACTCTCTGATTAGTGAATACTTCCTCTGTTCTCCACATCTTTCTGTTTAGTGTAACATTGTATTTTAAAAAGGCCTACTAATTAGACTCTGGCTAGTGTGATATGACCCCCCCCCACCCATCACCTACTGCAAGCAGCATCCAGCTTACATGTGTGATATGACCCCACCCACCACCCCACCCTGGTTATTGTGATATGACACCCCCCCCCCCCAATCCCCCACCCACCAGCATCCAACCTACATGTTGTTTTCCCCACTTCCTGTCCACACCACCTGTTGCTAGAACGTACCCCAGACAAATGGCTTCAGTTTACGAGGCTTCTCCGTTTACATTCCTGGATATAACTTTTAATTTACTCATGTCTAATTAATAGTTTTTTTATAATTGGATTGCCAGATTTTGGTATGGCTAATTAATTAACATTCCAGCAGTCCCTGATCATGCTTCTGGTTGCTACACCTTTGTAGGACAATACTCTATGTAGTTATAGGGACTGTCATTTGTGTTGGTGTATTTGCCCTTTTCCCCCTACCCCCCCCCCCCCCCCCCCACACACACACACACCCTCCCCCCACATTTTAGCAGATATTTTAATGTGGACCTGCTGCTGGGATGTATAGTTTTTTCTGCAGTGAAATTTTCAAGCCTTGATCTAATAACAGATGCTGCAGTTCTTTGAACTTATTTCACTTGTTGTCTAGTTATGCTAAGCTCATTACTTTTAATTTAGCATCTTCAATTAATTTAGACAAAATTCCACCATCTTAATTACAAAAGTGTCAACAAGCATCATTTCATTTTTTAATCATTGAAATTCCAGTTTTTATAAAACTGCTGGTGCTAACATTTTGTTACTTTGATCCCAGGGGTGCTAACATTTTGTTACTTTATCCAGGGGTGCTAACATTTTGTTACTTTATCGAGGGGTGCTAACATTTTGTTACTTTATCCAGGGGTGCTAACATTTTGTTACTTTGATCCCAGGGGTGCTAACATTTTGTTACTTTATCCAGGGGTGCTAACATTTTGTTACTTTATCCAGGGGTGCTAACATTTTGTTACTTTGATCCCAGGGGTGCTAACATTTTGTCACTTTGATCCCAGAGGTGCTAACATTTTGTTACTTTGATCCCAGGGGTGCTAACATTTTGTTACTTTGACCCCAGGGGTGCTAACATTTTGTCACTTTGATCCCAGGGGTGCTAACATTTTGTTACTTTGATCCCAGAGGTGCTAACATTTTGTTACTTTGACCCCAGGGGTGCTAACATTTTGTCACTTTGACCCCAGGGGTGCTAACATTTTGTTACTTTGACCCCAGGGGTGCTAACATTTTGTCACTTTGACCCCAGGGGTGCTAACATTTTGTTAATTTGATCCCAGGGGTGCTAACATTTTGTTACTTTGACCCCAGGGGTGCTAACATTTTGTCACTTTGACCCCAGGGGTGCTAACATTTTGTTACTTTGACCCCAGGGGTGCTAACATTTTGTCACTTTGATCCCAGGGGTGCTAACATTTTGTTACTTTGATCCCAGAGGTGCTAACATTTTGTCACTTTGACCCCAGGGGTGCTAACATTTTGTTACTTTGACCCCAGGGGTGCTAACATTTTGTCACTTTGACCCCAGGGGTGCTAACATTTTGTTACTTTGACCCCAGGGGTGCTAACATTTTGTCACTTTGACCCCAGGGGTGCTAACATTATGTTACTTTGACCCCAGGGGTGCTAACATTTTGTCACTTTGACCCCAGGGGTGCTAACATTATGTTAATTTGATCCCAGGGGTGCTAACATTTTGTTACTTTGACCCCAGGGGTGCTAACATTTTGTCACTTTGACCCCAGGGGTGCTAACATTTTGTTACTTTGACCCCAGGGGTGCTAACATTTTGTCACTTTGACCCCAGGGGTGCTAACATTATGTTAATTTGATCCCAGGGGTGCTAACATTTTGTTACTTTGACCCCAGGGGTGCTAACATTTTGTCACTTTGACCCCAGGGGTGCTAACATTTTGTTACTTTGACCCCAGGGGTGCTAACATTTTGTCACTTTGACCCCAGGGGTGCTAACATTATGTTAATTTGATCCCAGGGGTGCTAACATTTTGTTACTTTGACCCCAGGGGTGCTAACATTTTGTCACTTTGACCCCAGGGGTGCTAACATTTTGTTACTTTGACCCCAGTGGTCCTAACATTTTGTTACTTTGACCCCAGGGGTACACAGCTACGCCAAGGATATCCTCCTTGTGTCCTCCCTGATTATTGCCATTGGGGGCTGCTGGTTCGCCTGTCTACACCACCGCTACTCACAGACGCAGGTGAAGAAGATGATGAAAGATCTGGAATCTCTGCAGAAAGCTGAGGAATCTTTGAAGAAACTGAGTAAAGAGTGAGTGCCTTATGTAGTACACAAAACACTTGTTGAGTAAAGAGCTAGGGGTAAGGCATACATGAGTTGAGTAAAGAGCTTATGTTATAGTAAGACAAACAGCATTTGTTGAGTAAAGAGATAGTGGTAGGAGATACAAGTGTTGATGAGTAAATTGCTAGTGCTACAGTAGGACAAATAATCTATGTTGCATAAAGAGCTAGTGATACAATAGAACATATAACGGTTGTTGAGTAAAGAGCTTGTTGAGTAAAGAGCTAGTGCTTTAGTTAATACAGCTAAAACAGTTGTTTAACTGATTATGCAGCACCCTGATGTGTATGCATTAAAAAGGCTGAGCAAGCATTAAAAAGATGCAATGAACACATCTGATGCAGATCAAAAGATTGCTAATGATCTGATATCTTTCAACACTAGCAGTATGGATGGCCATTAATTGGCTGTTTCCAAGCTTTTCATGGCAGACTTCACATCAAGCCTGTTGGTTAGCTTCAACATTTGATTTATCAGTAGTACATTTTATTGTACATTTTTTTATGTTTTTATTTCAGAGAAACCTTTTAAACCTTAAGTTTTTGTTTTATTCCATCCAACTTATCAATTTTTATACTAAAGTGTTTTAAAAAAAAAAAAGTTAAAAGATTATACCTGAACAGTTCATCTGTTTTAAACAGACTTTATTATAAAAATATTGTATTGGCGTGTCAGCTGTTAGTGATTAGCTGCACTATAAAATCTAAATCTAAAATATGGGCTTACTGTAGGTCGTTAGTGTTAAGTGAAGTCTCTTTAAAAAAATATAATGTTATGTAAATTCTCTTAAAAACTGCACAATTTTCTCAATTGGTATTTAGATGTTATATTGATGTAATATTTGTATATTCTTGCACAGTAGCCACTATTTAATTTAAAATGAACATGTTTTGATGTTACTTCTGTAGGCTGGCTGAGGCAGAGAAAAACCAAGTGTCTATGTCACATGACAAACAGGAAGAGCTGAGAATATTAAGGGTAGGTAACTAGGAAATATATCTCACTTCTGCTCGGTGGATGGCCTATAATTAGTTAATCTACTATATGGTGGGGGAACTAGAAAAATGGATTCAACCATTTCACTGAATTAGCTTTAAAAAAAAAAGACTGGTAGGTTACATGTTTGACTAAACTGAAGAAAAAGAACCAGATTTAAATGAACTTAAAATGAGACTCTTCACTTAGTAATACTTGAAGCAGTTTTAATAGTGTTTGATAGTAGGTTATCACATTTAACATATTTATTTCATTAAAAATAATGTTGAACTTTTCTTTTTATTGAAACTGCAGCCGGAAGAAAAAAATTGGGTATAAAAATAAAACAATTATTTTTGAGTAGCTTTAAAGTATTTGTCTTGTTGCAAGCCCCTAGTAGAGTACCATTGGTTTATTTAGTCTTGCTGTTTTACACAAGTACCATTGGTTCATTTAGTCTTGCTGTTTTACTCACATACCATCTCATCATTTTACCTTGCTATTCTACACATAACTGTGTCATTGGCCTGTGTAGCTGTTCAACATATACCTGCAAGTGTGTCATCCATTTCACATGTGCACATCACATTTGTAATATCTTTTTTTTTTTATAAACTTGTTGTACTGTAATTTAAATCTTTGAGTTTAAAGTCATAGCTGCCAAAAATGTTTTATTAAAAAAATTACCCCCCCCCCCCCCCATTGACTGAATACATTTTTTGTCCCCTTTCAAGCACCCCCTTAAAGATTTGTATTGATTAAAATACAGCTCATCGTGTGGGTATTAATTAAATTTTCAGTAGGTAGATAAATCAGACAACATAATGTGTTAAAATTTTGACCAAAAATATCATGTAACATTGCCCAATTTTCCAGCAAAATCTGGCCAAAGTACGCTCATGTCTCGACCTAAATATGTACCTGTTTCTTGTAAGATGTATTGGCCACTTTGTGCTTGTTGGCATTTTTTTAAAATGTTAAAAAGTTTGCTTTTATTTGATAGATATTACATTTTTTTTTAAATGTTATAAAGTTTACTTTTATTTGATAGATATTACATTTTTTTAAAATCTGTTTATATGTTACAGATCTTCTTGAGTCAGTTAAAAATTAATTTTTTCTTCAGCTTTTTTATCTGCACTTTTGTTCTTACATGCAGTATTAGATATATATTTTAATACATAAAATAATTTGCTTTGGTATGAATGTTTTTCACTGTTTATCAGTATCTGCTTATTTTATTGAGTTCATCTAGACTGGCTTACCTGCTTATGTGGATATGAGTGCATTATTTTGTGCATGTTTATGTCATGCCTTGCAAATTATTAAATTGTTTTATAAGAATTCAGTTGCATGATGTGTTCCTGATGCTATAGCTAAGGTTTAAAAAAAATTCTGTTTCTTTTTCTTGCAGCAAAACTCCATAAGGTTAAAGGTGCCTCAAGTGGCAGGGGGAGATAAATCACCTGTTAGCTTGAGTAGGGAGGGGTCGGTGCTGAGGAGGAGGGAGGGAGAGAGGAAACTGCAGCAAGCGGAGGAGGAACTGGCCTCACTCCGGGAGGCTTTGTCCCGTAAGTCTCGCTTGATTAACTCACCCCAATGGTTTCATTGATTAACACAGTGGAGTAACTCCTCTTGTCTATGCAGGTTCAGACTTAATAGATTGACAAGACTTATGTCTTGATGTGTCTAGTTAATAGATTCACAAGACTTGTGTCTTAGATGTCCTTAGTTAATAGATAACAAGGATTGTGTCTTGATGTGTCTAGTCAATAGATTAGCAAGACTTGTGTCTTAGATGTCCCTAGTTGATAAACAAACAAGACTTGTGTCTTAGACTAATGTCTGTGGTTAAAATTGGGTGAACATGATCAGTTGATTGATTGTCCTGTATTGACCTGTACATTGCAGAGGCTGAGAACAGGCTGGAGATCCAGCAACAGCTAGAGAGCCAGTGGTCAGTTCCTGGAGAACTTCAAGCATGGCTGCAGCTAACACATGAGCTAGAGCAGATACACTACAACGCTAAGAGACAGGCGGCTGAGAGACAGCTGGCTGTGGCCAGAGATGGGGTGAGGTTTTCATGTACTGGTGATTGGGGGCGGGGTTTTTTTCATGTGCTGGGGGGGGGAGGGGTTTGAGGTCTTAATGTGCTGGGGGTGTTGTGTGGGGGTGACCTGGATTTAGGTCTTAATCAGTGTCATGGGGGGACATCTTAATGTGCTGGGGTTGGGTGAGGTATAAATGTGAGGGTTGGGATTAGGTGTAAATGTTTTGGATGGTGTGAGGTCTTAATGTGATGGGCTCAATGCACTTAAGGGGGGGGGGGGGGGGAGAAAAAGAGGGCTTAATGCACTGGAGGTGAGGGAAGGTCTTCTGTAAGGCTTGGGTTAGGTCCTAACGCAAAAGGTTTTCTACAGGAGTGAGATATGGTCTATTTGGGTTTGTACGGTTTGATGGCCTATAACAATGGTATAGACCATGAATTCACTGAAGCAGAATTTTCTAGGTGAGCTGTACACAGCACACCCCCATGAATTAACCACTTTTTTAATGAGCCCTCTTGATGAGTCATTAATTTATACAGGAAGGATCACAACATCTGTTTGAAATTTTGAAACCTTTTTGATTCATCGAGGCCATAATTAATGCTTTAATGACTAACTTATTTTCTTTTCCTATCTTTCCAGTGTGATAAAATAAAGAAACGTAACAAAGCATTTTTTGGTTCCCTACGAATGGCTCACAGCAATTCGCTGGATGATATTGATCAAAGTATTTTAGATGCAAGGTGGGTGTTGGATCAGGTTGTACATGTGTATGTTGTTTACCTCAACAAACTAGAAATATCAATCTCAGTACCATGATGATTTAATTTTTTCTTAAGTTATATCATATGAAGATATTTTCTTTTCATATTCTCATGGGAGAAAAAAATCATAAAAAAAAAAAAAAAAGATGGTGGATAAAGATAATTCTTTGACTACTTAGTGTCTCTGTTGGGGTCTAGGATGGGACAATGTAAGGGTGGTGGGTTGGTGTTGAAGTGTTGTTAGGCGTATAGAGGTTGGTACTATAGTAATATAATAAGGCTTAGGGTGCCTGGGAAACCTAGAGACAGAGTTATGCTGTTAAGTTAGTTGTCTGATATGTTGAGTAGCTGTGTATTGTATATTTAGAGCTGCACTAGAGGAGGTGAAACAAGACCTCCAAAACCTAGAAACAGGGTTATGCTGTTAAGTTAGATGTCTGATGTTTTGAGTAGCTGTGTATTGGATATTTAGAGCTGCACTAGAGGAGGTGAAACAAGACCTCCAAAATCTAGAAACAGGGTTATGCTGTTAAGTTAGTTGTCTGATGTTTTGAGTAGCTGTGTATTGTATATTTAGAGCTGCACTAGAGGAGGTGAAACAAGACCTCCAAAATCTAGAAACAGGGTTATGCTGTTAAGTTAGTTGTCTGATGTTTTGAGTAGCTGTGTATTGTATATTCAGAGCTGCACTAGAGGAGGTGAAACAAGACCTCCAAAATCTAGAAACAGGGTTATGCTGTTAAGTTAGTTGTCTGATGTTTTGAGTAGCTGTGTATTGTATATTCAGAGCTGCACTAGAGGAGGTGAAACAAGACCTCCAAAGTCTAGAGACAGGGTTATGCTGTTAAGTTAGTTGTCTGATGTTTTGAGTAGCTGTGTATTGTATATTTAGAGCTGCACTAGAGGAGGTGAAACAAGACCTCCAGGAGAGACTCCACAGGTGGCACACTATTGAACTCTTGTGTGGGTTCCCTGTTATCAGCAACCCTGGGCTGGCAGCCCTCAAACAAGCTCTTGGGCGAGACATAGGAGGTAATGAGGTTTTGATATTTGGAGAGTTTCTAACATTTCTTTTGTCAACCTTAAATTTGCTTCGCATGTTTTAGTTAGTAGGAGTCGGCTGATTCAAATCTGGGGGGGGGGGGGGGGGGGGGGGGGGATATTTAAATCTTATGAAAATGTGTGATTTTTATCATATTTATATAGATTGTTCTGTTGGGACATAACAGGGTATATATATATATATATATATATGTATATATATATATATATATATATATATATATATATATATATATATATATATATATATATATATATATATATATATATATATATGTATGTATATATATATATATATATATATATATATATATATATAAATGCCTTAATACCTTATTCATCACCTGATTATTGTTACAGATCTGAGCCGTATCCCTGGGTCACTGTTGGCCCCTGTGTCCATTGATGAAGCTGATGAAGATCTCCCACCCACAGGTAACTGATTACTTCCCTTGAATGAGCACTCTCCTCTCTCTCTCTGTCTTGTTTCGGTTTGTTGATGCAGATCTGTGATTGTAACCATTTTTGTGGGGCTGATCCAGCTAGGAGGTTATTGTTTTAACACTTGGGTGTCCAGTCTAACTCTACAAAACAATTTGGAACAAATTTGAAAGACCCACTTATAATAGAGGGTAACTTCAGTTTTTGAAGGAAAATTTGTTTCATAAAAAATTGTTTGTTCACTTTTTTTTTCTGCTAATGTTTGGTTGTGGTTATACTTTTTGTGTTTGAGTTTCTACTAATTTATTTTTTTTGATTGACCATGTTTGCATAAAAAAATGTGTTGAGTTGAAACCAGTCATTTTTGTCTCAGCTGGCAAGTTAGGGCTATAAAAAAAAAGTGGACAAATCTGAAATATTGTTTTAAAAACCACTTGTAAACATGAAAAACTAGATCAGAGTTTAAAACTTGCATTTGTCAGAGTGAAAACTCCCTTAAAAAGAATGGTTGTTATTTTCATCCCTTAAATGTAACAATAACTCTAGTTGGATAAGATAACTCTAGTTATCATAATTTACTTGAAAGCCGTTGTGTAGTTTGGGACAAATTATTTTAAAACCAGTCGACCATTCCTTGATTATATAACACCCATCTTCCCCTTTCTTTTAGCCTTTTTAAGCACTTTACAGTTACAAAATGGTGGAGCGTCGTGTTCCCGTCCCCGGGCCTTGTCTGCAGGTAACTGGTGCCGCTCATCTGTTGTCCCAAAGTGTTTGGGTTCCTGTTTACTTAGCTCACGTTAACTCTGCTCACGTTAACTTTGCTAATGTCAAGTTTTGGTTTTGTAATGTTTGATGGCATTCACTAACAGGAGATCTCACTGCATGTTAACTCTTCAGGTTCAAAGTTTAAGTAAAATACCCTGAAGTTTTTTTTTTACTGCTGGGTTAAAATCTCCTTGGATAAAAAGGACTCTGGTTATATATTTCAATGGGTTTTTGGAATTATTTGCAGTGAGGTCTTTGGAAAAACTAATGAAAGAATTCACTTAGTTTAAGGCAAGCTAACAGACAACACTGTAGCAAAAGAAAGGCAGGACAAAGCTGACTCAATTAAACTAAATGGATATTAAACCATCGTAAAGCAAACCTAGCCTCTACACCACATGGTATCCCCCATCCACCCCTAACCTCTAAAGTGGTATCCTCCTATAATGTCCACTAAAGCCTAGGCTGAGGTCAGTTTTGTCCAGCTGTAGAATAACAATTGTTTTTATTTATGGTCACATGACACTAACACAGTGTGCTTTGTGTAACAGCTCCAGCTAATAGAGGTATGAAACTTTTCTGCTCACTGCTCAACCGGAGTGGCACAACTGTCATGATGGTTCCAATCCCAACCGTAGTGGCACCAGTGTCATGATGGTTCCAATCCCAACCACACCAACACCAGTGTCATGATGGTTCCAATCCCAACCAGACTGGCACCAGTGTCATGATGGTTCCAATCCCAACCACACCAACACCAGTGTCATGATGGTTCCAATCCCAACCAGACTGGCACCAGTGTCATGATGGTTCCAATTAGAATCCTAGTCCACAAATTAAAGATTGATTGTCTGAAATTTTTTAAATTACATTTTGATTTCACCTACAATTAAGTATATTACATTTTAAAAATTTCATTTTTTCCTCAAGGAACTGGCTTAAAGCTGTGATGTGTAATCAATTTTGATTGCACTATTTAAAATTAACTTAAAGAAAACATTTTGTAAAAAAATTACCAGCATTCTCTGTCTTTAGTTTGTGGAGAAAATGTATGCATCCAGTATTAAACAATAAATTCTTATATTCTTATAACCATCCATGACTGGATGCATCATTACTTAACTGGTGCCTATATTCTTTCTTTTCCTTTTAAGATGCTTCAAAAACTTTTTAACTTCCTGAGTTGTCATCTTGTGATTCTATTGCTAGTTGAGTGGCATTATATTTTCTTCCTTCCCACTTGAAATCTTTATTATGTTCAAGTAGGAAAATAAAATCTAACTTGGTGAGAAAATACAATGCCGATCAGTCAATGCCAAAATTTTTTCTTGATGTTCAATTTTCTTTGCTTTGTTATTTAATGCTTCTGCTTCACTTTCTATGTAAGTCAACGCTTATATTTGCCTTGACGAGCTTCACTGCATCATTTACATGAACATTTTATTATCCTGCCATTTCCACACATGTATTTAGTGTTTTCTTCACATATATTTCTCATATAGTAACATGTGCCCAATCATCATGTTTATGTTGTTGTATTGTCCTAATACATTTTTTTCTCCGTATGAATTTTGTTACAGGCTCAAGACATATGGGCTGGATGAAAAACCACTAAATTCTATATGTTGTTTAGTTTATTTTATTTATAACAGATTTTTTTTCCCCCTTATATTTGTGATTTATGTTTTCTGGCACTTGTTAGTAGTGCACTATTTGACCACATCAAACATGATGAAAAACTGTACACACTCAATCACTCATTGTTGAAATGCACAAAACTTTCGCATGAAAATGCTTTTAATTTTATACTGCCACTCTGTAAACCAAGATTTGTAAAATAAATTGCATGTTGTTTTAATTTAAGGAAAGGAAGCTTATTAGGAAATAGATGTAATAACTGCTACAACTAATTAGTGATTAGTGATGGGTGATTGCAGAAAGCACGGCATAAATGTACCAGCCATTAAGCTGTTACTGGGTGTGTGAATTATAACTTTGTAATCCTCATTATCTAATACTTGTTTTCCATTTTTACTTGACTTCCTTGTGCATCACTTCATGCTTGTGCATGGGACAGATGAGGCCAACGAGACAGAGAATATTTATAATCAGATCCCTGAGCGCCAACGCCAGCAGATATTTGCCTGGGCTCGCCGGAGTCGGCTCAACTACTGGATGAAAAAGAAAATATCCCCGTCAAATGGCAAGATTATCTTTACTTCTCTCGTCTCTTGCTTTGGACATTGTTTTACAAACATGGTGGTTTTTTTTTTTCTCAGTGCTTTTGAGAAAAGTTAATTTCAGTTGTTTCCCTTTAATGGTGTTTATTTATTTATAGTTTTGCCGTTCTTTTGTTTCTACCACCAGCCTTGTCTTGATTGCAACCATCTCAGCCTGAATTATTTTTTTTTTGCCACCTATTGAATGTTCTTGCTTGCTCATAATATATCTTAATCAGAATTAGCAGTAAAAAATCTTGTAGTGAAATTATATAATTTTAGGATTTAAGTAATGTTCTACTGGTATATCAGACATTATATAATTTTTTAAATGCACTACTACAGTATTGAAACAACTTTAACTCTTGGCATTTCACATTATTTTCTGTGACTTTACAATACTTTTTTAACTGTAAAAATAAACAGGGCCATTTTTAGTTAACTCTTTAGTTAAATGGAATCAAATTTTGTAAAATGTTACTTTAACAGTTTTGTCATATACAATTATTGTTGTGGGGGGTAGGGGAATCAGTGTTACTGTAAAGGTGTGATTTGCTGAGAGTTAAACCAAAAGTAGTTTCTAAAAATAACCGCCAGTAGACCATATTAAAAATGTTACCACTTTCTATTGCAAATATTTGTTTCATAATTTTAACTGCTAACTCAGCTGTTTTATGTACCATCATTATCTTTAATGTTTTATTACATTATGATTTTCCCAAAGTAAACTCATTGTGTCTAGTCAGGGTTTATCAATTGTTTAATATAGTAATGGGTTGGCATTTATTGATAGTTGATAAAGGTATCAAAGCATCTAAGTGATCATATTAGATCATGGCTTGCAGTCAAAGCTTATAAACAGTTTTAAAAATTAAATATTGAAGCATTATTTCAGATGGTCGTATTTAGTTCTAGTCCTTGCATGAATGTTTGAGTGTTCAAGTGATGTGGTGTTATTTTCATCTGCAGTTATCAAGAACATTCTTGATTTTGCTACTTAAAAAAATGTCCCCACATACGTTATATATCTATGAAATTGCATGTGTTTTCTTAATTACTTAGAATATGTTGTTCATAATTCCATTTTTGTCCAGTCTTTCATGGCCATTAATTCTATTTGTTATCTTACTCATCTATTTGAAATGTGTCGCTTTTTAAAATCTTTGTGGTGGTTTTTCTTTACTTAAGTTGTCCAAAAGTAAACACAGCAGTTGTTTTTTTATTTTGTTTCATCAACTTAAGCCATGCTGCACAAGGAAGAGTTGCTGTTTCTTCACTTCATTTGTTCCCTAGACTTTTTTTTATTATTTTTCATTTAAAACTGTACACATTTTTAAACACAACTTTACAAATTTTTTTTTTAAAAGTAAACTGTGTGAAACATTCCATGCAGTGAAGCCTGATTAAAAAGCTATTCAGTTATTATTGCTTCATTGCACTTTTTTTGCTGGCTTTAGCTTTTAAAAAAAGAAAGTACTCTTTTTAACCTCTGAACAAAAGTGATACTAATAAATTAAAACTTTTAAATGAGCATCTTTTTCTTCTTTTGATTTGATAGTGTTCTCATTACTGAAAATTAATGTTCACTGTTGCTACTTACTTATCTTAATGACTCAAAAAAAATAATTGAATGAATGTTTAAGTTATATTGTTGGTCTTAGCTCTCCTACTATCTGTTCTAAAATTATTTTTTAAAATGTTTATACAACTGTTGGTGAAAAGTATTGTTGAATTGTATCTGCTTTGCTTTCAGCACTTAGAAATCCAGTCACAAATCACAGTTGTAGAAGTAGATGTAGTTGTAATCAGCTGATTGGTTGAATTACTTACTAGCAAGCAACTGATTGGCTGATTAAATAGCTAGAGGGCATGTAGACCAATCAGATTAGTGCATGAAGTACTACCACTCAGATGTTGATAACTGAGTTGATCATGATATGAAGTGTTGATAAAATGATTGCTGAAACTGATTTGATTAATCTGCAAGATATAACATAATTATTTACCAGGAATAATTTTATTGTACTTTAAAACACTAATTTTAAGCCTGCTACTTAAATTTAACCATTGTATTAGCTTTTTGATACAGTTAACATTTAGATGATTTACTTTTTATATCACAAAGTTGATTTTTTAAAACAATTTCATAAATTGAAAATAACTCTTAAAAAACTATTTCCAATTGTTTTAAATGTAAAGATGGACTATGTTTCAATTTACTTACCTTTGGGTGAAGTTAAGATAATTTCAAATAGAGCAGCTATCTAAAGTATTTCCCGTTGTCCTCTAATCAAGTTAAATGTTTAAGACCTTGGCTCTCTCCTACAGGATACACAGGTACCACCCTACCTCCATCAGGTAAATCCTCAACATTCCTCAAGCAGCAAGTCCTGGATGGAAGCACGGCCTCTCTCTCCCACGTTGGCAAGGTGCCAATACCTGGCCATGGCGGCGCCACCCTGGCCAGGCGTGGCAGCCGAGATAACGAGCTCAACGGCTACTCACCTGTGGTGACACCTACCTCCTCCAACATGAGCACATCTCCCAGTGCTGTATCATTCCATCTTGGAGAGGGGTAAAAAATTTTAAAAATTATTTGTTATCAGATGGATTTAGTCTAAAAGGATAAATATGTTCCAGACCTTTTGATAAGATTCAGTAGATTTAATCTTTGCGTTACACATATGTAGATAAATAAATTATTTATACAGTATTACATTGAAGAAATGTGTTATGTCATACAGTTTTTCTTTTATATAAACCCTTATATTTATTTATATAATTGTTTCACTATTCCATCTGTCTTTCTGTCTGATAAGAAAGCTCTGATGTCATGTGAAATTTAAGAGGCAAATCAACTTGACTTAGTCTTCTTTGCTTCTTGTGAAACATAGGGTCTCATCCATACCCTTTCATTTTGTCTGGTCCCGGCTGTTGATTTTGTAACCTCCCAAGGCTTTCCTGCTGTCTACAGTTCTTCAAGAAGATTCCCCTCCAGGTCTGTCTTGGGACCCTGTCTTTTGCTTTTCCTTGGGGGTTCCATTCAAGTGCCTGTCAAGTCTTGTCTGAATGAGCCTTTAGCAGAGTGTACCCCACCCAGTGCAGCTTCCCCCTTCTTATTTGTACTGTCATAAGCTCCTGCCTTGTCCTTCACCATAGGTCTATATTAGGCACTTTGTTCTGCCACCTCTGTTTTAGAATCTGTCTGAGATATTTCATTTGTCGATGAAGGTCTACAATGAAGAATACTTGCACAGACAAGTATATATTCAGAAACAGAAATGCAGACAGACTATAATAATGTTATTTTGTTCTATCAAGTTCTGTTTAAACTGTCTTGAAAGTTTATGACAATGTTTCATGTGTTTCAGAAGCCACTACACCAATCATCATGAAAGATCTCAATCCAATGGTTCCATATCTCAAGCTCTACCTAATGGTCAGCCCAGAGCTGGTATCAACCAGTCCATGTCCTACCCCCCCTATGGCCAGATGTCCTCTCCCCCCTTGGCCATTTCCCCCGGGCTCAGCAGAGTTGGATCCTCCGGCCAGCTCTTGTCCAGCAACACCATTCCCCGCGCCAACCATTCCTCCATGAAAATCTACTCCTCCCCCTCCAACAACCACCTCATGGCCCAACATGCCGCCCCCGCCAACCACACGGATGACCCCAAAATAACTCGCAGCGACTCCAGAGATATCCTTAACAACAACCTGGGTCACATGATGCTGGCTGCGAGCCCCAAAGTCCCGGCCCCCACCACGGCTGTAGGGATCCTGCACCACGTGACACAGCAGCTGCTGGACGAATCAGACTCGGCAAGTTTTGACTCCAACCCCCGCAACCATTCCTCAGCCATGTCACATATGGATCAGACCCCGGAGCTGGACCTGAGCAGCCTGGACACCGACTCCCTGTACGGGGGCAAGGAGGTGGCCCAGAAGAGCGAGGCCCCCACAGACAGGGAGAACGAGAAGAAACAGAGCAGGAAGAAAAAGTTCCTGCCCAAGTTTTTGTTGAAGCATGCAGGAAAGCAGAAAACTTCCTAATGTCTGTTTTACTGGGACTGTTATCACAGAGGTCGTTCTTTGGTTGGAATGTTTTCATTTTCTTACATTTGCATAATTAATTCATATCAGTGGGAGACAAATACTGTGATTGTCTTTGAAGGGGACAATATCATTGGTATATTTTTCAAATATTTTTACGTCCAAGAGTTATTTCTTCAAATCACATATTTTGAATGAAAGAATTCAATATTTAATGCCTGAATAATATAAAAAAAGTGTATTTTTAAAAAATCAGTAAATCAAGTTCCCAGATTGAATGAACTGCTCTCCCAAGCACATCTCACGGTTCCAAAATATTTTCCATTTTTTCTCTCCCCATTTTTTTATGCAGTTATTAGCTAGACATGATGTATCTACCCACAAATGAATCAAGAATGTTATTTTTGTTTTGGTTGAGTTTAATTGTTTTGTAATCTCTTAAGATGAGTTGTTGTTTTTTACAACCATCCATATCATACACTGAGAGGCTGTTTTGATAGTCTGTTTCCCAGTAAGAAATTATATATTTGTGGTGACTAAAATGATATGCAGATTGTCTGTCACTCATATAAGGTATATAGGCCTATTTACACATTATTTCTACTGGACAAAAGTTGTACACATTTCCATTTTGTGAATCGTTAAAAAAAAAGATTGAATTTTCTCGTCCCATAATCTTTTTGTTTAATCACTAATCCTGGGGATTAACAACTCTTTTTATCATTTGTTTTGATTTCTTATTTTTCTGTTCTGAACTTTTTTACATTTTCTATTTTTAGATCAGTGTTTTATTTGTGTGATCTCAGCTGTTATGAATCAGACTATTTTTGGAACATTTTCGGGGGATTGTTGAGCAATTCAAATTTTTATGGACTGGCCAATTTTTTTTTACTGAAAATTTTATTCACTTCTAAATGTAATATCTTTTATACTACTCAGTGGACAGTCCAACACTTTCTTCTCTCCGTCTTTGTAATATAGCTGACTGTATAATTGGATTGTTTAACGGATGACATTATGACTGAATTGAATAGTGATTGCATGACTGCGTTGACTGAATTACATTATGATTGACCTCAGGATGGAATTGTACTTGATCTAAACAAGAGATCTGAGCTGGATTCTCAGAGATGACCTTTGTCCAGGCAAAAGGAGTTAATTGATGTCTTAACCTACTGATATCGTTGACCTAGCTTCTAGGTGTTTTAATGTCAATGTGAATGGTAGAATATCAGACCAATACTTGTGTATATGAATGTAGAATAGAAGACATTGTATATATGAATGTTGAATAGAAGAACCAGTACTTCTGTATATGAATGTAGGTAACCCTTGTCATCTATCATTCCTAAGATTTCATCATTCCTATTATTCTTGAGCTGTTTCCTTTAGTATGATAGACATTTTATTTTCTTGAGACACATAAAAAACATATTAAAAAGTTGCTTTTTTTCACTCATTTACATTGGTCAGGTGTTTTAGGGAAGTAGATACATTATTTGACACTACAAATTCTATTTCGTTGGGTTTTTTTTTTTTGCCTTTTGTTTGTGAAAAAAATTATTATCTGCAACAAGTTCTACAGCAACTTGTGTATGTTTGCAACACATCCTACAGCAACTTGTGTATGTTTGCTACAAGTTCTACAGCAACTTGTGTATGTTTGCTACAAGTTCTACAGCAACTTGTGTATGTTTGCTACAAGTTCTACAGCAACTTGTGTATGTTTGCTACAAGTTCTACAGCAACTTGTGTATGTTTGCTACAAGTTTTACAGCAACTTGTGTATGTTTGCTACAAGTTCTACAGCAACTTGTGTATGTTTGCTACAAGTTCCACAGCAACTTGTGTATGTTTACAAGTTCTCCAGCAACTTGTGTGTCAACGCTCTGTGATCCACTGTATATGTTACATCAAGCCACTAGCTGCAGTGTGTGGACCTTCATTCCTTAACCAGCTCTTAAGTTTCTTTTAGTTTGTATTTGATTATGGTTGTTTTATATTTAAAAGCTTCCATTTTTTATATGCATTACTAATTCAATTATAGTCATTCATGCTCTTTCTTTTTCTTCAGTTTTTTATAAATAAATCATTTATCCCTACTTTTTACTTCCCAAAAAGTTACTTTAAACCTGTGTTACGGATTTCTTTAAAAATTTTCAGTAATGCATTATGGTTTTAGTATAGTACAAGATAATAACAGATAGCTTTAAAAACACATAAATGACAATGTTAGAAATTTTGATCGACATTTACTGATGATGAACCATCAACAGAAAAATTTGCTTCAATCAGTCATTGCTTATAACTGTAAAAAAATTATATCACCATTTGTTCATGTGAATCTGTTTAAAAGTAATTATTTGTTTGGCGCTTCCACATTTTCCAATTTGTTAAATATTTAACCACAAAACTTCCCTCAATGAACTCTCCCAACATTTTTTAGTTGAGAATTTTTTTTTTAAATGATCATGCTATTATATTAAGAATTTGTAAAACAAAAAAATTTCTGCATCTGTTTCTAATTTATTTCCATTTAATTGCAGGTGTTGAACTGTGTCCATATAAAAAATATCTCTAAATTCAAATCACTTCTGAGTGTATTGTCTGCATAAAATTTGTATGCAAGTACCATTCCCTCCTTGCTGCCAATGATATAAAAAAAAGTATATTATCATTTGTATAAATTTTGAAATCCAATATGTTGATAATAGATTTTTATAATTTTGGCAGATTTAAAAGGTGTAAAACACGAATTCATTTTGTGTTAAACTTTAGAGTAGGTTGTGATGTATCGTTGAAAGGGAGATAATGGATGCAAACTGTTCAACATTTCATGGATTATCTTCCATGTAATCTGTTTTCAAAGTATACCATCTTAATAATGTATAAAAGTAGCACACTTCTCATATTGATAAATATTGGCTGTGTATGATGTATATTTATAAAAAAAATTTAATTAGTGAAAATCATTAAATTTATTATTTTGACAATTGCTACTTATATTTTTTCATAATATTTCTATTTATTAGAAGCTTTTGATTCAAGTCATTTTTTTTTTGTATTTAAAAACATTTGCCTCTAATCTGTACACATATAAATGCACATTTTTTTTCTCATATCTTTCTCATATCCTTTTACAGTAATTAAAATCTCAAAATAATTTTATCATTTGTTCCACATTAGTCTAGTGAGGTATGCAAGAAGGAATGTTAAATGAATAAGTAATTAAATAAAAAGTTTGGAAAAGAATGAGTGCCTTACTCTCTCTAAAAACCTTTTTCCCCAACCTCATGTTTGTATAGCAAGAGGGAGATAACTTGCTAACCACATAATTTGTTCATTAAAATGGGAAATAACTCTTGCTCAAACTAGGATATTGTTTTATGTCTTGTCTACTGCTTTTGTGTGTCAGTCATAGCTACACCGTTTTAGAAGAGGGAGGAGGAAACCATTTTTTTTTCTTTTCTCTAAAATTTTGTCATTAAGATTTAATGAAGACATTTTGATATCAATTGTTAACTTCTTGTTGCCAGTGAACATTGAAACTGATTATATATTATTTGATGTGGAACCTCTGGTTCTAAACCACACAAAAAAATATTTTTCTATTTTAACAATTGGTCATAGATGTATATGTTAATGTCTCAACCATGTTCAGATTTTATATCTGTACCTATCATTTGAAATAAATTTTAAAACAGTCTTCTTCACATTTGATCTTTATGTGCTGATGTACATGATTGTGTATGCAAGTGTAGAATGGTGCAATATTGTTTTATGTGTGAAATGTGATGGTTGGTGTAGCATGAGTCAGCCCTAATGGTCCTAGACTGAATGATTAAATTCTTATTTAAAATGTACATGATTGCCCATGTAGTAATGGCACCAACAATGTATTACTTAAGATAGATGAAGTTGAGTTAATCTGTATGACCTCAGCATGTGAAGAGATAGATATTTTTTTTACATTTCCTGGCCTTATTCATGGGCCCATCATAGCTGACTGACCTTCAACATAAAGCCCAGTTAAGTATAAGACTAACAGAAGACTGGCCATCCTATCCTGTAAGTAATGAAACTATAATATTTTATACTGCTCCATCCTACTGGTAAATTGTGGATATTGTGCAAGCAAAAGTCAAGTCAAAATGTTCAAGTAAATTGTTATTTATTGACACATGGCTGGAAAAAAATGAATGAACAATAAAATAATTATGGGAAATAAATCTTGCAGACTGTCACTCAAATGTTATCAATCATTTGACCAGTTTTTAATCATGTGACTGTAACTGCTGTATGTCAAGTTGACTTTTGGTTAGAAGCCCAAAAACTGATATCAGAAAAAAACAGAAATATAAATTGATGAGATTTTTTAGTACTGATTAATTACAATTTTATACAGAGAAAGACACTAAAATCATGAACTTTTAGAAAACAAGCAAAAAATAAAGTAATTATTTAATCTGCTTAATAAGTTGTGTGATTAAAAGGTTACAGGTGGTGAGAGAGTCAAACAAGAAAAATATCTATACACTTGCCAGATAAATGTTGATAAATTAAGTCAACTGAATTTTTTTAAAGAAAAACAATTTTAGCCATTGAGGTGCCTACAAACATTTTTAGTGAAACAAAATTTTGAAGTTAAATTTACTTTCAATTTCTGCTGATACATATGAAATTTGACTGAATGTGTATGCGTACTTAATTTTATAAAATACTAAAATTTTCATCCCAAGTGAAAAAAATAAAACAACTCTTAAAGAAAAAAACTGGGAACATGCTAGGTATTAGCATCCCTTGCCAACCCAGTCACACAATGTTAAAAATACTTGCAAGGAATTAACACTTAAAGCAAAGACTTATATGACTAGAAATTAAACCAGGATATCAGAAAAATAATTTCAAAACATGAGTTAAAGTTAAAAAAAAAAATTATACAAATTTAAAAAAAAAAATTTAATGTGTCAACAAATATTTATAAAAATGTACACAAAAGTGATACTTTTATGAAATGTAAGATATGCTTGCAAGAAAAGCTAGTACCTTTAGACAGTCCAGTGATGGACCAACAGAAAAACACTAAAATCCAATTGTTAAATTATTTAATTTAGTAACAAGAAATTATGCTGAGATGGAGTATTAATTAATTTGTTCAAAAATGAAATGGGACATTTGCAAATAAGACACATGAGTTACTGCTCTTGAGTTATTTTTACATACCAAAAAGGTATCCTCAGTTTGATAGATTAGCTTTAAGTTTAAAGCAGTATTCATACTTTTTGGTCATATTTTCCATTATTGGAAGTTGTTTTTTTTCCAAGATAACCATGTTTGCAATTATCATATTTAAAAGAAACTTTTTTTTTGTACAATGGAATACTACAAGTATAGATAAGTTGTTACTGAAGAGATTTTGTCACCTTATATATTGCTTTAAACTTTAAAAACTATTCCATCACAAATACTTTGGTAGAACAAGAAGCCCACAATGATCACACAAATGGAATGAACGAGGTGCCAAAAATATGTTTTTTTGTACACGACTAATAGACATCAAACCACATTTAAATATAAAAGCAAAGGCCTAGAAAGAGATATTGCATGAGTTAAAGTTATTACAGCCAACAGCTGAAGTTAATGTTATCCCTATGAAATAGCGCCATTATACTGTTTAGTAAGTTAACTACATTACTTAAGAAAATTCTACTTATTTTTTATTTATTTAATTTTGTGGCTGCACAAATTGTTTCAGTTGCTTTTTGTTTTAAAAAAAACACATCCTAAAATATTAAAATGTGGAAAGAAAAAAACTTTGCAAAAATTTTTTAACTGTCTTCATAAAAAAGAAGTAAAAAAGCTGATAAGGCCTTAAAAAAATGTACAGAATTATAATCCAAACATTTAAATAAATATATTAATCATAATATGTACATTTAAACAAATGTATTAACAAAAAACAGCCGCATATTCCAAAAAGCAGATTTGCTTACAGTTGTGCATTTTTTAAAACTACCATACATATTCAATCATATTTACATGTTTTATACACTATTCCATTCCACACATGATTCATACAAAAATATTTAATTATATCATGACAGTTTTTAAACATTAACTTAATGTTACACTACAAGAAAAACACATTTTTAGCCGAAGATCAAGTGCTTGGAAAATATGATACATTTCAACATCAAATGAACAAACAAAAATATTAAGTTAATACATTTTGTAAAGGAACTCTTTGTTAACAAAACAACACAAGTAATATTTTTTTAAAAATCATAATAACTCTTCTATTGATATCAGGGTGGGTCATTACGCTTCATAAAAACTAAAACTTCTGAACAAAATAGCAGAAGTAATGATATAGCTACATGCATAGATGAAATTTTTAACATTTATGTGTCAGAAAATGACTAGTATGTCATGATGACTGAAAACAAAACTTTTTTATGATGAAAATATTAGTTAGACTAACACAATTAGTTGGCACTTCAAACATTGTAAAAAATAATAAAATATCAATTTAAAATGCACACCTAATATCTTAGAACTCAGCTACTTTTTAAAGAAAGAATGAGCATAATATGTTAAATTAAAATCTTTAACTGTCATTTTTTTATTTTATATAAAGTTTACTTCTACAAAAAAAAAATGAAGGAGGCTATGTTAGTGTATTAACTTGCTATAAAAATCCAAGTTACCCATTCAAATGTTTAGGAATTCTTACTTATTGATGAAATAAAATAACTGAAAGCACAATAGTTTATAAAAACCCAAGGATGAAATGAGTGGAGATGAGTATTGTTATGTACCTTTTTTTGAGTATTCAGACAAAATTTACAGAAAAACATAGTGATCCAAACTGAGGTGAAAAACATAACACATAATTTAAAAATTACAAATAATTAACGAGAATCTAAATTTACCACAAATTAGGTCTACTTTTCTGTCTGAGTAGGCTTATGTTTGCTTTGTACATGTAATTTTGCAAAATTAAAAAAAATAGGACTACTTTAATACATTTCTAGTTTTGTAATGATTGAAGCAATAACTTCAACACTAGAGTAACATGTATATTTTCATAAAGGAAATGTTGACATGTTGATTTACTTTAATGAAGTACAAAAAAAATCAGGATTAATACAGTTTGGTAATGCAAGTGTGAAACACAAAGACAAGTTGAAAAACATATCAAGTAAATGCACTTAGAATTCAAATCTTTGGCACAGAGTGTTGAGATTATTCAATTAAAGAAAAACAGTAATGTAAATTTGCATCATTTTATAACATTTCATCAAGGCCAGCTACATGAATAGCTTAAGCCTACATGTAAAGGCAAAAAAAAATCACAATATAAAAAAAATAATAAATTAAAATTAATCTTTTTTGTGGAAATTATAAGTTTTGGATTGATTAAAGCTATTTGTTTATATATAAGTATCAGACATCTGCATTAACTTTATTGTAATGCTGTGGGGTTATGATTAAACTGTGTCCATTTTTTATGATTGTGATTGTGCTAGTTGGGGATGGAGGGGGAGATGAAGCTTTCCGCCTCTGTCTGATAAACAGAACTATTGCTAAGATGCATATCACCACAATTAATGCTATTACGGCAATAATTATTGGTAATAATGGAATATCTGATTCATTTAATACACTGGCATCCCTTTGCGCATCAATGTCTGTTGTGTTCTGATACTTCAGCTTGACGTGAATCATGTTAACACCTTTAACAAAACCTGAGAGTTCTTCCCCTTCTTGCTCACTGGTGTAGTCTCTTTCGTTAACGAGCTCTTCTTGGTTAGAGTAAAAAGAAAACGACTCTGAATCCAGCTCGGTATCTCGTTTGAGTTTCTTGCTAGAGTTGTGCAGGTGGATTGTGAAAGAGACTTGAATAAACCACAAACGCTCCGGATCAATCTGACATTATAAAAATATACACGTAAATACATTAAGAAAACAAATAAACCTATTTTTAAATTAATTAATGCCTATTGGTTAAACAAACAAATACAAATGATCTGTATAAATCAAAGCATTATGTTTGAATGAACTATTAAGTGTTAGGTAGCAGTTACCTGGAAGATTTTGAGAGCATCAAAAGAAAAGCCGTCTGTCCCGGTCTGTTTGACCAGCTGACCAGCACCTGGGTCCGTGGACGCCCACAGAGCTTTAAAGGGAATGTTGGTCTCATCGCTAGCCTCGTTATCCTGGGAAGAAAATTAATTATTCAAATTGAGATCAATTTTAAATAATGTCAAAACTTAATCCAATTTCTCAACTTCAATAAAATAAGAAATATTTACTGCAAGCTTCTATGAATCCTTTACTTGTGACACTTATATAACAATAAGGGGCATAAAAAATAATTTCTTGACAGAAGAGTGTACAAATCATAGGCTGGGGGTATCAGGTGTTAAATAGTAAACACACCACTCAAATATGAAAACATTAGATATAACCTGTAGGAGGGGTTATTACTTTACAACTAAACCACCAAAATTCTTTTCTTTAGTCCTTTATCGCACAATGGTTGGAAGAACCATCACTTGTTATTAGTTTGAAATTTTGGAAATCTCCATCAGGCAACAGGATTCAAAACATACCTATTCTGTATAAGCCCTTAAAAGCTAGACCTACCAATAGTTTAAATGAGTAGAGCAGGTTTGGCGTCTTGACTTGGCAGCCCAGATTCTCCGTGGATTTGTCGTATTTGGGGATGTAGCCATCTTTGCCTGTACACAGGTACACCTGGTCCAACTGCAGGTCATAATACTTGTCTTGGTCAATCACAGGGTCTAGGCTGACTCGCCCGTAGATTTTATCATCTGTGAGGAATTTTAAATGTGGGAATCAGTAAGTTTTGCATTATGTAGATTCATGCAATAAGAGATGGTTTTACAAAATGAAAACAATATAAAAAACTTATAAAAAAATCATCTCACATGGTAGAAATCCAGCATCAATATCTTCTGAAACAGCCATGTTTGGGTCCGATGCCCACTTCTCTTTGCTGTTGGTAAGGTGAAATTGTGTGTTGTGGGAATATTCAGTGGGAACTAGATGGCTGACTTGGTGAAGCCTGATGGGCAGGAGGAAGGACACAGTCTCCTGAAGGCTGCATCTGTTGGACTGAGAGAACTTGTGCTCGATCACCTCAAAGCAGGGTATCAGCTCAATGATGTAGTTGCCAGAAAAATCCATGTAATTCTGGTGAAAAAAAATTATAACATTTTGGTTACATTTAGAACCAAAAAAGATTAGTTTCTTGTTGGAATCACTCTTTTATTGATTTCTTTATATTATTATTTTGCTTAGATCATCAACATGAATATATAAAAATTTAAACTGAATAAAAATTGTTCAAGCTGGACCTATAGACCTACTGATTACTTCCCTTAAACTACACATCTGTTTCAAGTGTATTTAAAAAATATATTCTGTTTGTTCTATTCAGGGGTCTAACACATGTTAGGGGGTTGTTTTATTATTTAATTTACAATGGTGTATAGTAATGATGTATAAATAAAAGTGAATTGGATGAATAAGTTCTTTCTTTCTCTTAAGGCAATATGTGGCTTTAGAATAGGAGGAAGGTTTAAAAAAAAATGTTATATAAATGAGATAAGAGGGGGTTCTCTAATTATTGTGTTATATCTTTAATAAATTAAACAAACAAAAAGTAAAAATTCAGACAAGAAAGTTCACAGAGTAACTGCAGTAGAGTTTATCTGTTTCTCCAACGTCAGCATTACGTTACCATTACGTCTATACTTTTATATTAGTGCTTTTTTGCTCAACCATAGAGTTCCTAAATTACACATAAAATATGTAACTTTCACATATGTCAAAAATACTTACTGATATATCTGTAGTAAAATTCCACTCTTGATATGCGCGCATAAATGGGAGATCACTGTTCATGGGTTGCAGGTGAAAGGTCAAATCTGTATTCTCTATGGAAACAGCTCTGTTGTCATTGTCAAATGCAAATACTGATGTGACAAATTGAACTTTGAACTTGGCTTCTGTCAAGAATGTGACAGTCAGCTGTCTTTCATCTGTGATTTTTATACTTGTGGGATACAGAATTCCTGCAAACACCATTGAGGTTAATTATTCACCTTATTTATTTTTGGTTAGTTAATTGTTCATTTATTTAGTTTATAAATCTTATTTTTGTGTCCATTGTATGTTGCTCTACTATTATTCAATCAATTTTTCATTTCTTTGTTCAATTCTTCAGTTTACACTATTTTCCTAGATTTTAAATTGGAAAACTAATTATTTTATGCAAGATTCAACTTTATTTTGAGTTTTATTTATTCAATTTTTTCTTGGTTAAAATATTCATTATTGGTTTAATACTCTGCTTCTCTATAAAAATGAATAGACATACAACAAAGAAAAAGTGAAATAATGTTCCCACCTTCTAAGTTAGACAATGTGGAGAAACTCTTGGTTCCATTCTGCCAGTTAAAAGGTGTGTCAAACGTGTAGACTAGGGTCAACTTAGACGTCAGGTCAAAGTGCGTGGACTTGTTTTCATCAGCAGGGTCAAGGTTGACATACGAGACATGGAGTGGGAGTTGGGCGGTGACCAGGGACTGTTTACTGCTGGCAATCTGCAGGAAATAAAAATGTTGAATAGAAAATGATGGATAAAAAATGTTGGATAGAAAATGATGGATAAAAAATGTTGGATAGAAAATGTTGGATAAAAATTTTTTGGATAAAATTGTTGAATAAAAAATGTTGAATAAAAAATGTTGGATAAAAAATTGTTGGATAAAAAATCTTGGATAAAAAATGTTGGATAAAAATGTTGGACAAAATATGTTGGATAAAAAATGTTGATCTAGTTGTAGGCTAATACATCAATAAAATTTATCATATTTTTTTTTAGTTTTATATTCTGAGAATATAAAACATTCTGAAAAAGGAAACAGCTCAGTTCCTAGATTTTATGTCTTTTTGCGTTTTTAGTTTTTGCTTCGCTGTGACTGAAGATTAGATGTATTCATGGGTATGTGTGTGCCTCAGTGTACATTAGCTTTAGTGTGAATGTGTTGTTGTATGTTGCATGGGTGTAAGTTAGTTTTAAAAAAATGTATTTGTATGTGTTCTTGGGTGTGTGATAGCTTAGTGTGAATGTGTTTGTATGGGTGATTGGGTGTATGTATGTAGATCAGCGCATGTGCCACAGAGCAAGTTTTTTTTCACCAAGTTAAACCTGAATGACCCCAGAAGCTCATACATCAGGCCTTCTCATGACAACAAACTGTTACAGAATAACACTGACTACACTTAGCTAGCTTCACATGGCAAATTTTTACAAACTGTTAAAGAATAACACTGATTGCACTTGGTTGGGTTGGTTTCACATGGCAAATTTTCACCTGACAAGTTTGACCTGACAAGCTTGACCAACCTGTTCATCCCAGGAGAGCACAGCACCACAGTCTCTGACCAGTTCCTCCAGGTTAAAGTAACTTTCATAGACCCACATGCAGGAGTGGAGGTCCAAGTACCTGTACAGGTGAATCATGGTTTCGTTAGAGATAAACCTTAACACTGAAGTCAACAAAGTTGCTAAAACTGCAGTCAAGATTTATGACTGATGTCAACACTACCACAAATGTGGTTTCCACATCAACAGTGGTGTCAGCACCAAAAGCACACATCAATAAATAATGATTTTAGCCATGATATTGACTATTAATTAAACTATTCATTCAACAACATCAATAATAAAGTATCGTTTTTTTGCCAATGTTCTAAAAAGGATTGAAGACTTCTAAAAACATGTGTTTCAGTCTGAACATATTGTTCCCCAACTTACCTGTAAAACTGGACAGTAGACTTGGACCTTAGAGTGGCATCATACTGGTAGGGGAACCTACTCTGTGAGTGGTCGTTTGCCTTGGTTAAGTCCTGCAAGAGAAAATGTTAATGCGGGATCTAACTCAAGTAGTATGCACAGTTAAACATTAATGCCATGCAGTAGGCTACCAATGTAGGGGAGAGTGACATTTTACTGGGCTAGACTAGCAGTATTAGATATACATTTTATTTCAGCACCATTGGTAAACTTAAGTACAAAAGATTGCCATAAATTAAAGACAAAACAGTATAGCTGGTGGGAGCAGAGTCTACATCTGTAAATATTCCTCATCACAACCTTATGCCTGTTAGCTTTACAAAGATATCTAAATCATTCACTATCACATCCTTATACCTGTTAGCTTCACAAAGCTTTTTAAATCATTCACTATCACATCATTATACACAAAAACATGGAGACTTGGGCAGGGGTCATTGGACCCTGTGTCTTTATTAAGACAACAACAGACCATATTTTCACAGAATAAATGACACATATGAACATTGATACAGACATATAAGATGATGATAACATACAGGACAATGGTACAGGGGTAAAGCATAATGATATAGACAGATGTAGAGAATGATGATACAAACAGACATACAATTAAAGGACAGAGGATGTTGATACAGACATACAGAAGTGTGATACCAACATACAGGACAATGATATAGACATACAGTACATCCTCAAATAAATAAGAAAATGAGAAAATTACAAAGGCTGCCCCCCAAAACTAGATACCCCTGTCTAGACTTAAATGTCGTTACATTTTATAACAAATATTAGCTGATTTGACATGAAACAAGAGTGATCTACAGACCTCTTTCAGGCTGTTGAGGTTGCTGCACTTGTGCTGGGTGTGTTCAGAACTGGCCACCATTTCAATGAGGTCAGTAAGTTTGTTGGTGGAATAGACTGGGAACATACCATCATGATGGGGCAGTATAACGGTCAGTTTGATCTTCTTGCCGTTCTTTGGGTCATCTTGACCTGTCAGAAAGAACAGTGTACATCTTAATTTTAATAATAGAGGAATTAGCAGTAAAAAAGTATATTTGAATCTTTATGTTAAGACATGTTTATTGATTTTTATCATAAACAATGTTTTTTTTAGAAAAGGTGTAACAATTAAAAATCTTGTAAATGATTTTTTAAAAAGGTTATGTATTAAGTTTGCCATACAAATTTTAAAGCTCAAAACAATTATTATAAAAATTGCATTTTTATCTAAATCTTTATATATTAAACAAAAACAAAAAATTCTCTGGTAAAGGTAGGTTACCAGTATAAAACAAGCTTTTACCTGTGTAAAATACACATTTTTACCTGTGTAATTTAATCTAGCTGTGAAGGGCTGAGGTCCCAAAATCTTCCCAGATTTGTGCTGACAGATTCCCTTTTCCTGACTGATAGTTACAGCCTCGCTGGTCACACTAGAGCCCGGGTCACCTTCCCGGTTAACTGCAGTTGTAACACACTCAACTTGACTGCCTGTTCAATAAAAAAAGATGGATTATTGCCCTTTACATGTCTAACACACTCGACTGCCTGTTTAATAAAAAAAGATGGATTATTGCCCTTTACATGTCAGCTATTGAATCAAATCCTACTATTGGTCTGAGATTAGTTGGATCATGTAGTATTATGTTAAACCCCTATCTACCCATTACAACCCACATCGACCCCTATCCTCATCCCCTCAAATTACACAAGTACAAACAGATAAACTATGTTTTAAGTATCCTTTATTTTATTTTGGTGAAATTTGATGAGAATTTACTTGGGGATAAAGATAAAAATATTTTTAAAAAAGGTTTTAAAAGATTTTATATTCTGACAATGTTGTCAAACTTTACCTGCTGTAAAATAAATACTGTCCAGCGTGATAGACCGCGGTGAGGTGAAGAAAGTTCTAGACTGGACAACTTGTAGTTGATTTGTACTGTCCACATTGACAGCGGGTGGTGCCACAGACCAAGAGAATGTTGTCAGCTTGTCGTTGACACCGTCGGTGAAACACCTGGAGCTGGTCTTACTGTAGCTGGGGTGTTTAGGGTTACAGGCCTGCAAGGATAAATGGTGACTTTGTGTCAGGAGAAAAATACAAAAAAAACATGATTCAAATTTGAAAAATGAGCTAATTAATTATTATTAAGCTTTCCATGTGATAAACTAATGAACGACACAATCTAAATTCTCTAGATCAAGTTAAAAGACTGTCTAGACTCTAGATTTAGATTAGTCTTAGATCCAAGTCTGAAGTCTATTAGTTTAGTATTACTTTGTCTACTACTGTCTAGAATCTACTACTAACACTAGGATAACTATAAGCTAGATCTAGATCTAGACTAGATTCAAGATTGTCACTAGATCTAGATCTAGTTCTAGTAGCAACGCTACTCTACTCTAACTCTAGCATGTTCAAGATGTTGAATGTTGTATTCTGGTGAATGTCCGTTCAATTAAAACCTACCGTCACACAGATGAGAGGGTACCCTGGTACCGGATTGTTCTGGGCCAGTTCTGGACGATCATAGTCTGCTAGAGACATCACAACTGGCGGGGCGGGGAACTGGACATCGGCTACTTTGGTACGTTCTTCAATGGTGACCGTGGCTTCTACATTCTGAGACAGGAAGGGTATGTTATGTAGACTAGTTGGGAGCAGTAAAAAAATATATTGGCATTGTACTGTATGGGTCATGTGATATGATTGTTTTGATTTGGCTATTCTTAATTTGGACATAGTGACATCACGCTAATGGGGGGGGGGGGGTGATTTTCAGACTTTTGCAACCATGTGCTGCATACGAGAAGAGCTTAACAAATGTGACATCCTAACATTTGATTTTTATTACTTTCTCGTATACGAAGTAAAGAGGAAGTATTGTAAATATCGTGTAAAAAAATCGAAACCCAGAATTTAACATACCTCTAACTTGACCAACCCACTGCCCGCTTTGAGAATGACTTGAAACATTTCACTGTATTCTTTTTCTTCGTTGTGAAATATGGCCACATCAACCTCAATCCTGGTCATGTTAGTCTTAAAGACAAGCTCTGTTAGAGATAGAGGGTTGGTCAGTGGGTAGGTGGTTGGGTGGGTAGTGGTTGTTCGAGTGGGTGGATGGTTGGGTGGGTAAGTGGTTGGTCGAGTGGGTGGATGGTTGGGTGGATGGTTGGGTAGGTAGGTGGTTGATCGAGTGGGTGGATGGTTGGTAGATGGTTGGGTGGGTAGGTAGGTGGTTGGGTGGATGGGTGGTTGGATGGATGGTTGGGTGGGTGGATGGTTGGGTGTATGGTTGGGTGGATGGTTGCGTGGACGCTAGATTGGATACTTTGGTGGATGGATGGTTAGGTGGTGATTTATTTGGTGGTTGGATGGTTGGGTAGATGATTGGGTAAATGGTTGGGTGAATGGTTCGGTGGGTGGTTGTGAGGATGAAATAGACGATGGCTAGATGATTTGATGCATGGATAGCTGAATGGGTGTGAATGGCGTGGATGATTCTATATATTGTTTCATGTTTGGATGAGCGACTAAATAGCTGAATTTGAAAGATAAAATTACACGTGAAAGTTCCTCATTAAAATTCAATATATAAAAATTACCCTGAAAGAACCCCATGTAGTCCTTCCCGGAAGTGGCGGTGACGTCCTTGCTGTTGATGGTGACGATGGCCGTCTGTGACACGTCACCTTTCCTGATGACGGGGATCTTTAGGTAGTTGACCTCTCCTTTAAACATGGGCTCCTTCACACTGAACCTTCTCTCGGCCAGCTTGATCAGAGGGTCTGATAGAAAATATATGTCCAGTAGTTACACGGGTGTATGTGACTAGATCGTTGGTTGATTTTTTTTCTGGTTAGCGGGAGGGGGGGGGGGGGTGGGAGACTAAAAAGAAGGAACCTTGATCATCGGGGATGGCGTGGTCGGATGGTAGAGATAATGACTGCTAACCCTATAACCCCGAGTTCAGATCCCAAAGTAGAAAATCCAACCCAACTTACTGTGACTTTGATAAATAGTTAGCCTTATGAAAAAGTGGTATTGTATACACAATTAGCAGAAAACTACGGGTGGGGCATTTCAGGGTGGATGTGTTTAAATGCAAGTTAAAATCTTTTGTAACTGTATAATAGGTATCTTTCTCCACCTTCTGTTTACAGACCTGCAATATGTGATGGTCACACAGCACTAAAATGCCAATAGAAGTAAGGTGACACTGACTTTGGTATATTACAATCAATAAAATCCTACATACTAATTTGTGCCCATGAAACAAGGGTTTGATGAAATGGAGTTCATCTGTTTCAATTACCTCGGCATACAAGGGAATAGTATGGTCAGCACTATGCTTGGCGCCTTTATTTCCCTAACTCAAGGACTCTCTAATGACACGAGCCTGTGATCCGAACTCAAGACTTTGGGTAAGCAGTCGTAAGCTCTAGCATCCGACCATGCCGTCCCCAGCACTGGTAATAACCCATTTTTAACCAGATGGTGTGTAATAGGTCAAACGTTATGCTCTGCCAGAAAACATCTTGTAAAACTTACAATCATCCTCGTCCAGTATCGTGACGACAGTTGAGTTCTGTCTTCCCACAATGGCCGCGCCCAGTGACCTACTTTCTGCCGCGGCCAGGATGAGCCGGAAGCTCTTGGTGTCTTCTAGAACAGCGTCATTGATGAGCCGCACCCTGCAGTCTTTCTCTGACTCACCTGTGGTGAACAGAGGGGACGAGAGGTTAGTTCGCTTGTAGATTGGTAATAATTAAAATAATTCATTAACTTGAGATTTTGTTTACGTCGCGGTAATGAGATTTTAAATAGCATCTGAACCATGCCCAGGCATTTAAACCTGTTTTAGATATAAATATATGTATACACACAGATATACATACACAACCACACACATATATATATATATATATATATATATATATATATATATATGACATATAGGTATATATATAGGTATATGTATACACACAGATATACATACACAACCACACACACACACACACACATATATATATATATATATATATATATATATATATATATATATATATATATATATATATATATATATATATATATATGACATATAGGCCTGTATATACATATACACATTCTTGACTTATGATATAACTCTATATATTTTATATTAAAAACAATCGTACCTCATCCACCCCAAATACATTCGTAAAAAAAAACTCAATACAAAAAAATATCATGTCTGTCTCAATTGAGTAAACAAGAACGGTCAGAGATTGTTGTGATCTTGAATCCTTGTATTATTTCCCCTGAGTTAGATGGGAAAATGGCCCGCTAATAATCTAACCTCGGCGGGGAGAAACTATTGGCCATCAGAGTATAATGAGATATACATAAGGGCAATAACTCCGAAATAATCTTCAAATAATATTTTCTTTAACGTCTTAGATTCACTTATCAATATAAAGCCAGTATTTTGTGAGATAAAGGGGGAGCATGAGATTTGTAATCAGCATTTTCCATCCCCCCCCCCCCCCCCCTTTGATATAAAAGGATGAGGTTGATGTTTGATTTCAGTGTTGAGGTTGGTGAGGTAGAGTGGTGAGGTGATAGATCAATGTGGTGTTTGAATAACCAAGACTTTCCCAATACTCTCAAACCAACTATAGCTTCAATAATATAATCGACCATATTTATTTTAATGCAAACGAAACGAGCATTGAATGATTGTGGTGGCGACGGAAAACGAGCATTGAATGATTGTGGTGGCGACGACCGCAAGCTGCGTGAAATACAGTCTTTTAATTTTACGACGACAAAAAGGAACGAGTTTGAGATGAAGCACACATACACACATACACACATACACACGCCACATTTTGTCGTGTCATGATAATGTGAGTCTTTGTTGTGAGTTATGGGGGCAACTCAAAGCCGTTGGATTGACACAAAGTGAACGGCGTGACTAACAAAAGTAATTGGTTTACATTAGTTAAAAAAAACAAGATTTAAGCACACGGAAAAAACGGTTAAATAGTTTCGCGAGTCAAACTCCCATTAGCTGCCGTTTAGAAGCTGCTTGCGCTAGACGAAAAAAGTCACTGAGAACTAACTCGCTTTTAAAAAATAGGATGATCTCCCCTTTTCTAGTTTAACAAAAATCGTCAATAGCGCTAATAGCGCCATTTTTTCTAAGTGCGCCGTTTTGCCAAAGAAACAATTACGAGGGTTCTATTTTTAGCAAGTACTAAGAGAAGTTGTTTGTGAGACAGGGGAGGTAAATGTAGGTAAAGTGAGGTAAAAAGTTATCTCAACTTGTTTGCTAGTCGAGGTCTGGGTTATGTTTTGTGGTGCAGGATACTGAAGCCGGAGCAGACTCTAGGGCCGGACGGTGAAGCCGGAGTGTAGAGCCGGAGAGTGAAGCCGGACTATTGTGCCAGGCATTGAAGCCGAACTAAAAATATCCGTGTCTAAGCACGAGCAGGAGTTCTGGCACAATTTGAGCCAGTTTTGGTTGTCAGGGTCTGACCATGGCCAAGTGAGTCGGTTCTACTGAGTATGGGATCGGTTAGGGGTCGGAGTATGGTCAGTTAGGGGTCAGTTAGGGGTCGGAGTATGTTCAGTTAGGGGTTGGCGTATGGTCAGTTAGTGGGTCGGTGTATGGTCAGTTAGGGGTCGGAATATGGTCAGTTAGGGGTCGGTGTATGGTCAGTTAGTGGTCGGAATATAGTCAGTTAGGGGTCGGATTATGGTCAGTTAGGGGTCGGAGTATGGTCAGTTAGGGTCGGAGTATGGTAAATACGGAGTGCGCTAAGACGAGTGAGCTAATGATTGACACGTGGTCGGGGGTTCTGCAAAGGATGCTGTCGCCACATTGTAAAAATAGCTTACTTCAAGCGTCGTTTGCTTCATATAAATAGAATTATATATTTTGAAGTTTCGGCAAGACCTCTACGTCCCTCCCCAAAATATCCCATGTCTATACACGTATACATTTAGAAATTTTCAGACAATTTATATGTAACATAATAGAATTGCAAATATGCAAAATAATTGTTTAGGTTAGGTAGACATACGTTTATCCCAAACTATTTTTCATCATTAGCGCGAGGGAGGGGG